GCATATTCGACACAGAGAGTATTAGCGTCTGTTCGTTAGGATATTAGCTAACATTCATATTGCTTACACTAAGCTGTAGGGACGCGCATTCGGAAAATATAATGAAAGAGAGGCTACTTTAGTAGGTCATATAATACTGTTAGTTACCACCACTTGCTTGAATAAGGTCTATTTACCAATAAATACTGCCTTCAAGGTGTAAGTCAGACACGATGAATTTTTTTCTTTTCTTCACGTTCCCCAGTGGAAAATAAGGCTTCAAGCTAGTGGCTTGAAGTTTCTGTAGCAGTGTTTATTTTACACGATGGAGTTGCTAGCCTCATGCCCAACCTTTCTTCTTCACCAGCATTATTACTGGCTTAGCGAGGTAAAGGAGTGCGTCGGCCGGGGATCGAACCCCGGACCATGTGCATGGTCGGCGAGCGTCCTAACCGCTATGCCACCGATTCACACATGACATGATGAATTAATTCACCGGACACGATGAATTAATACAGGTTAATCTCACATTAAATCTAGCCCCTCTGCAATCTCTACAGGCAAGATTCTTTAGAATTTTCTTAAACATACTTTCTCGACGATGTGTAAACATACTTCATATTTTTAATATCTAATAATAATTTTTATTTAGATAGGCTGGAAGAATTAAAGAGATAATGATCTCACTTTTTTCTTTAATGATGGTTTTAAGTTGTTTTATAATTATGGCTAAGTCTTTCATAGAAATCATCACAACTTGTAATGCTTGCCTTTTATTCATATTACTGCTCTTAATATTACATATATACATGTAATTTTTCTAATTTAATAAACTGAAGTGTATATTGTTCTCTCTTTAGCTCCTTGTCCTTCCCAAAGAAAGCCTTTGTGCCAACTGAAACTTTCAGAATATGAAGTAACTTACATTTTATACGAGTTGAAAAATCCTGAACTGGAATTGAGGGAAAATGATTCCCGGACGTTTGTGAGGTGCCAACAACCAAGTAATATTTGAAAAAAGCAAGAATTACAAATTTTGCAGAATAAAGTGGTACCATCTTTTATTTCGTTGCAGATTTGGGTGGGCTCAGACCATCATCTATTTCAAGGAACCTTCAAGGTGAAGTTGAAATCCCTGAAAAAAAATGGAGACAGGCCACTGTAATCCAAGTTCAACATTCAGAAACTTAAGGACATAACTACAAGGGATGCCTTCGCTGCACATCAGATCAGAGCAGTGTTGGAGTCACTACGTAGCATCACTGAGGAAACCTGCGTGGAAGAACATTGGAACTATCTCTCTTAAGGTGATGTTCAAGGAAACGTATACAAATGTTCTAGGAAGAAAGAAGCGACGTACACTGCACTGAATAAAGAAGTGAAGAAGAGTGCTTGGAAAGACAAAAGATATTCCTACGACACACTGGCTAGCAACTGAAGCAGAACAGGCAGGGAGCAGGAAGAGGAAACCTCAGGGCATTCTATCACTTTAAAGGACTCTTGAATCTGCTGTTAGAGCTGTCTGCATGAAAAATTGTAAACAACAACTGACGTCAATGTTTACATCCCAAATAGGAGGTCATGAGAAAAAACAAGAGCAAAGCTTAACTTTGAGAAACTCAACAACCAGTCACAGCATACTTAGCGTGGGCGGATACGGTTTGCAAATATATCAATGGACTGTCTAAAAGACGGCAGCAAAAAGATGACAGAACAACCTTTAGCATAAAACCAACGAATCACAAGATGTTTCTTCTCTGCTAACAATGAGGAATAATAATGTACGTAAAAATCTGTAAATATCTGTTGTACGAAAAGGCGTAAACAGCGAAGAAAATTTTTTTTTCGACGATTTATTTTCATGAGCTGTATAATCGTACTTATATTAAACAAAGAAATCTTTAGACCAATCAGATACTGGTAAGCTTTGTCCTCGAAAAATGTATCACTTAATGTAAGGTCTAAGAAAGGATGACTAATTGTAATTTAGAAAAGAGGCAGAAGTTGCCATGATGTGTTAAGTGTGAGATAATGACTGATCAATAAGCTCGTTTAGAATGGACAGAAACTAGTGGAAAGGCGATAAAGTGTTTTTTATATAAAATCTGTATGTAATAGCAATGCTATTAATAAACAGTAACAGAATGGTAATAAAATCTGGATGGTGGGAGTAATAATGATAATAAAATAATAATAATAACAACAATAGTAAACTTACGTAATAAAAACGAAGAAGCAAAATTATAGTAAGAACTTTCTCAGTAAACGATCTCTTGCCTGGCCCTTGTCTTCTGTTGTTACAAATCAACTATCACCTGCAATCCGCCCAGAAATACCACCAACATCACACACGGAGCTGCCAGTGGACACCAGTCCTCCAACGAAAGCTGAAATACTAAACGCAATCAAGCTGCTGGAGGCCAACTGGGAAGGTGGCAAGACCAGACGGAATTCGCCTCGAAGCACTGAAATGGACCCAGAGACTGCTTTAGATGTGATAACGTCATTGTTGCAAAAGGTTTGGAAGGAAAGAAAGGTTTCTACAGATTGGAAGAAAGGCTATATTGTCAAGCTACCAAATAGGGGTGACTTACGCCTCACTCTTCAAGAACTGGCGCGGAATAATGCTCTTGTCCATGCCAAATAAAATACTAAGTCGCATCGTCCTGGAAACAAGAAAAGACTCACTGGGCGCAGAACTCCGCCAGATCGGAACAAGCTGGCTGGATTCAGGAAAGGCTGGTCATACACTGATCAAATCGCAACTCTACGCATCGTCATCACAGAACAAAGCATTGAATGCCAGTCAAATCTGTCTCTACCTCAACTTCATTGACTTCAAAAAGACCTTCAACAAACAGCATTGACTGAGAAGTAATTTGAAAACTACTGCAACACTACGGTCTACAAAAAGTCTTTGTCAACCTCATTCAACAGCTGGCTATATGACAGTGGCACGTCTCAGGCAATCCACAACGGCAAACTCAATGAAGACGATGAAGTGAATACCGGAGTAAGACAAGCTGACTGCCTATTATCACCGATGATATTCTTAATTGTGGTGGACTGCATTACGCGTCAGACTGTGCGTGAGGAGTGAGAAGACAGGAATACACTGGACGACCGATGAGAAGACTCTAGAAGATCTGGATTTCGCAGATGATATATGTCTAATGTCACACAAACTAGAAAACCTACAAGCAGGCGGAAACCAACAAACTGGCTGAAGAGGCAGCGAAGATAGCACTGCAGGTGAACACAGAGAAGACGGAGGTGATGAAAATAACCAACGAGCCGCAACAACAAAAAGTAGTACCAATCACCATCAACGGGATATATTTAACAGAGGTTAGCTCCTTCACTTATCTAGGAAGCATCGTTTCAACTGCGGGTGGAACGGATGAAGATGTCAAAGTCAGAATCGGAAAGACAGGATACGCTTTCATCAACCTGAAACCAGTTTGGAAATCGTCTACACTCAGCATAAGGAACAAGATCCGCTTTTTCAACACCAATGTCAAGCCGGCCCTTCTATGCACTGTGTGTCACGAAAACGATTTCCAACAGGTTGCAGACTTTCACCAACAGCTGCTTTCACTCCATACTGAATATCGAATGGCCAGAAAGAAACAGTAACAAAAAACTATTTGAACAAAGTGACCAAAAGCTGACTGCTAAGCAAATCTGTAGGAGAAAATGGAGATGGATAGTGTGCACATTGAAGGGGCCGTCGAATAACATCGCACTCCAGGCCATTGCTCAAGTGGAATCCGAATGGGAAGCGACGAGTGGGTTGTCTTAGGGGGACATGAATTTGGTCAATCGTGGACCCAGTTGAAGAGGATCGCAGAAAGTAGAACAAAGTGGAGATGTGTTGTTGAAGCACTATGTTCCACTCGGAACCCAAGGGAACAATAATAATAACAATATAATGTTAGTCACGTAACTTTACTTGTAACCGTGTGTCAGCTTTAGAGCTTATGGAGGATGTTGTTAGGGGTGTCTATCATGGATATTTAGTGTCATCATTATTTTATTTTAAACATGAAGATGGGTGTGAGTGTGCTCTATTTTTATCGCATTAAGAAGTAACTCCTTTCATTCAGAATACGTGGGCAATGAAGTCCTTTTTGGCATAGACGCTGACAGCATATGAAATCACCTGAATACAATTTAAATAACTTTATAGTCCTGCGTTACTATTCTGTACCGATTCCATCGAATCTCTGGGTCGGTCAAAAACCTAACATATGTAATTGAAGAAGGTCAACGTAAGTGATTCATAAATGATTAGTACTGAACAGAAGATTATATTTAATTTATTGTTTTATCACACTTATCTGATCAGAACAGTGAAATTAAAAAGATTAAATAAGTGAATTTATGAAGATAGAAAAAATGAGCAGATAATGAAAAACTTTGATGTAAATGAATAGAGAGAAGGGGAAATTCGATATTTATCTTGATCATAATCAGAGAAAGCAACTCGAGTGAAAAAAAGAGCCAGATATATTATTTCTCCAGATATGAATAAAAAATATCACTTTAAAGAGGGGATGGCTCCTCTTCATAGAAATAACAACTGACAGAAAAATATTGTTCATAAGCTTATTTAACAGCATAATTTATATTTGATCAAATAATACATAATTCCAAAAATAACAAAATACTTAAAACAAAATAAACTCATGAAAATTTCGTTGACCATTTAATAAACTTCACTATGATATTAATTATGTATGGTAAGCAACCATAAAATCATTCCGATTGCATTAAAAAAAATCAAAATAAGTGTTTATCAAAAATTTCTCTGATTTTAAAAACAAAAAGACAATGCCTAATGGCTCAGTTTCAAAATGGTGCCTTCGATTAAATATTTTCTTCAAATAGTTTCAGTGATAATTATAATCAAAACAAACTCAGGCATTGTATGAATAATATATCGCACATAGAAATGGCTGTCGGTATGCTGAGTATTATTCATTTCAGTTTGCCTCCAATTATGATTCTTTTCGCCAAATTCAGATACATTTCACTAGACCGATTTCCGTTCCACAAAACGGGCAGACATGTTTGACATCTTTGCAACAATCCACAAAGAATGGTATAAGAAAACAGCCCAGAACGCCTCTGTTTGTTTTCATAACAGTTTTTATGATTCGGTAATGAGAAAACAGAAAAGCGACTTAGAAGAGAAAAAAGAAAGTATTTTGTGAATTACACTCAACATAAAATATATCATAAATCTTTGTATTTCTATAGATGTGCTGGTGTGCTAATAATTATTTTTCTTTAGGTCACATCCTACAAAAAGGGAACCTAGCGTATAAAATTTGTTTCCGATGAAATAAAAAAGTCAGAGATCCAAGTACTTCATTTACATGTGAAGTCGACGGGTAATACCGTAATAACTCATCAATTTTTATTCTCTTAATTTATGTCCTGAAATTTTTGATTGCAACACTTCTACCTATATGTTTATTCTGTTTCTTCTATCTCTGAATGTTTAAGCAGAAGTCCCAGGTCATATACTGATAACTCTGACAATTTAGTATTATATATATTTGTTTCATAACAGTATAGCGATGCAGAACTAATTACTAGAGTTCAGATTACTAGTTACATGCATGTAGATGTACTAAGACAACATTTAATGCTTCTATTTATTTTTTATAGTACTTTTAATAACACAGCCATAGCACTACAGTGGAGTGCTATTTATTTGGATTAGACTGTTTAAAGATTACCGCAAAAATATTTACCTATCCTTTGTTAGAATGAAAGTATAAAGTTATCAAAACGTAGTTACCGGTCATAAAAACAAGTTAGGAAATAAAGTAAGTTTAGAATGAAGTATCATAAGACTGATCTTTGCATTAAGAATTCATCTTTGAATAATCTCAAAACGTATATACATATATACTAAGGCAAACTTAAATGCCAGAATAATTTTAACAAAAGATGTTTGAAACATGTATAAAGTATAAAGTATGGGAAAAAACAACCAATCTATGCAGATATACTTCTCTGCCTGGGTTCTAAATCACATCGTATACAATATGAATTCTAAAGATATTTTCCTAATACTCCAGACTTTTGCTTAGTCTTTATTTGGCTTTTAAGAAACACAAGGATTCACTTCTAAATGAATTAAGTCAAAGTTATCTGAATGTTTTCAAAGAATACTCTTTTCGATAACCCCTTCTTCATCAGGTTCTACAGTTGTATATACATAATAGTGAATGAATTAGTGTTATTAACAACATTATTGTTGTTTAAATAACATCAAATCAATAATAGTAATATCAATGGATTACAGTTCGATAGCATCAACATTGTGATTAGGACGCTCACCAACCATGCACATGGTCCGGGGTTCGATCCCCGGCCGACGCACTCCTTTACCTCGCTAAGCCAGTAATAATGCTGGTGAAGAATAAAGGTTGGGCATGAGGCTAGCAACCCCATCCTGTAAAAATAAACACTGCTACAGAAACTTTAAGCCTCTAGCTTGAAGCCCTATGTTCCACTGGGAACGTGAAGGAATAAAAAACAACAACATAGGAATTAAGAAAAATAATAATACAAATTCATAAATTTGTAGTCTCCACTGAAGGCCAGGGCAGTAGTAGTGGCTGGACTTGCTTCTTCTGCCCACAGAGCACCGGCTGTCGAACCATAATCCATTTGTATTATTATTTATTCGATGTTATTTAAACATCACTAATGTTGTTAATAACACTAATTCATTCACTATTATGTATATGTAGCTGTAGAACCTGATGATAAAGTTATCAAAAAGAATATTCTTTGTTCAGTGACCATCCTGTTGAAACAAATTTAATGGGCATTTCTAATCAGTTATCTGAATGTGTTCAAATCACCAAACGATATACTGGATACTTTCAGTATTCAGTATTATTTTTCTTAAAAACTACGTAATCGCAGGAAGTGAAAGATGTTCTGTTAGTTCCGAAATCTTAAAAGCTTAAGCAGTATGAGTGATTTTCAGAGTGATATTTAGCAGTTTCCAATTAAGACAACAACTAATTACATCATATCAAATTAAACTGCTTGGTTCCGAAGTGTAAACAATCACTTCAATGTCGAAAATGCGAAAAATTTCCACCAAAATATAAGACAAATCTGTTTCAATAGCTAATCGCTGTTTCAAATGTTTATAGAGATTACTTGACTATGTTTTCCAGCTTTTTACAAGAATTGAAAGGGAAAATGCGATACTGAAAACGTGATTTATAAATTAAAGTAGTGAAATAATCTCGCTGTTTGAAAGGGTAACTTGTAATAAATATTCATTTCTGTTCTGATTAATAATATGTAATTAATAAGAAACTAATTGTCTGTGCGATTGTATAAAACACCATTGATAGTGAGTCTATTTAAATTTAACTTTGCTGAACTTTATTCGTCCTACTGACTGCATTGATATCAACATATCACCTGAGACTAAATCATATTTGTTACGATTCAGTGATCAACTGAAATGAAATAATTGTTATTTGATATTCTCGCTTCTTACTTTTGCATAAAAAGATAAGATGAAAAGAATATCTACTCAGGTATTCGTTTCAGTAATTCAAATAGAAAATCCATCATAATGTTTCATATGTTGACTCACCCGCATATAAAAATTAACGCTGCCATAAGCCACGTTAATGCACCAATTTGATATGTTGTTCTTGTCACTGTAACCTGCTGGCAACATTCGCACCGAAAAGATTTTGGCAAACGACCAAGTTTCTTTGCATTTTCTCCATCTAACTCTGGGCCTATGGTTGCAATAGGAAATATGAAGTAAAAATATTAACAGAATGCTCGTAATTTTGATCACCATAAGATTGGTGAGTCTTCATGGTTTTAATGTATTCATTTAAAAACTGCAATACACATAACATCATGCATCTTAGTGGACAGCAGAACAAAGTTTGTAGCCCAAGTCAAGGGTAAATCATTCAGCGAAAACTACCAACCTCACACTGGCAAAAGAGATGTTTCATAGATTCTCGCTATTGATCAAAATCATAACCAGCACCTAGAGTTCTTGTGTAACAGCTACATAGAATAGCAGAGTAGGCGAATAACGCGAATGATCACTACTTGAAATTTGATTGAATAAATTATCAGCACACAAATTCGGAAAAAATATCGACAAGAATATCACAGTGACTTGATGAATTTGAATAAAGCAAGAACAACAGTTTGTGTAGTTGTCTTCTTTTGAAGATATTATTGTTTTCATTATATGTGAACGAAGTGATATCAGAAGTGAAGAAATAACCCTCACAAATTCTAAATGGATTTTGCAATGTTTTCATTAGTTTTGTAAAACTGTAAGCACCAACAGGATTCGTAATAAGAGATGAGTATCACATCATAAGTAGTGCACCACAATCAAATCTGAGATGAATTTATTTTCACATTAAAGTTCCTACACTGATATAAGAATAAAACTTGGGCACTGTGGTAGAGTGTAATTCCATTATGGGTAAATTTTATTTTGATAGAGTCTCACAGTGTTATACAGTAATATTTACTGATGACGTTTCGAGCACAATTTATTGCTCATAATCATATCACCTTGTGCTCGAAACGTCATCAGTAAATATTACTGTATAACACTGTGAGACTCTATCAAAATAAAATTTACCCATAAAGTTCCTACACCTTGTTATCCCTGAACTGATCAATGTAGCTTAATAATTTGAATCGATTATGGCGATTACATACAGAACACTGTTAAAAAAGCACAGAAAAAGTGATTCCAAATACCCGAATCAAATAGGATTACAGTTGTAACAGACTTTGGAAGTCACTTAATTAAACTGAAAAATAATTTAGGACTTTTCATTGCCGAAACTAACAGTCAACTGCAATTTTTGATTTCAAATAACCTAAGTCAAATGGTGGAGCCTTCAGATAACCCAGGTAATTTTTGTACTAGCAGTATTTGTACAAATGCTTCCGAATCAAGCCTATATATATAACAACACAAAGTGGCATCAGACTGCGAACCATCAAGAAACAAACAGCTATTCTATCTCAGTTCGAGACATCATCATAAAACAGACGCACCGTTTCTTGTTTGTTTTTCCTCACTGTCGTTAGGGTGTGACATGAGCATGCTACTATTTAACTATGTACTGGAAATCCGATTCTTAATAATATCTAACTTCTACCTTGATATGTCGTAACCATTATCCATTGTCATGGAGCATTCTCATATCCGGACTGTTAATCTAACCGGTCAAAATCGTCCAATTACAATCATGGAAATACATGATGAAGAAGTTGGTCATTGAGCAGTGTTTGATTCTGTAATCTTTGAACTTATTTTAAGTAGATTTCAACCAAGAACGTTTCTTTGTAACAAATGCATCTTCAGTGATAACAGTACAGTTGTGAGGAACTTTGGCACTAAACAAGCGTTGTTACTCACTTTAAAACTAATGTGCATTTATGAACCATTTTCGACTTGTGGAAGGCATCATCTATAATACAGTTTACTTTAGCAAAACTTTCCATTGGAAGAACTGATAAAATCCTCTCACTTTATCCTCTGAATATTCATTTTATATCCATCCGCTTATTTATTTTAAATAAGCAACATTATATCATGATTAGATATATTAGCTGTATTCTTGGGAATCAGACAAACCAGTTGGGAAAAACCGAAACTTAAATTGATGAGACTGATTTCATTTTAATAGTAAATATAAATTTTTATCACGCAAATCACTTTTTCCAGATAGCACACAACTTACTTTTACTGATAGATATTCTTGGTGTTGTCTGGGGTACAGAAGTCCCTTTTCCTAGAGTAGCTGTTTTAAACAGATAATATTGTTTATTAATGGTGACTTATATAAGATAACAGAAAATAGTTCCACAAAATAAATAAAACGAGGTGGCAAAATGAGTAGCATACTAAATTTAATGTTGCTTCAAATATTTTTAAGTTTTGGTAATTCTCAACAATCTTACCAAGAGATACACCGAAAGATATACATTCGTTAACTTTTACGTATAATTTAGGCTGTATTTTATAGTGACTGAATATGAATTTGTTAGAAGTCACAAGTATAACTTCGTACTATCTAGACATTTAACTTTTCCCTCACTAGAGAAAATAAAATCTGCACCATCTATCTATATTTAGGAAAGAATATAGTTTAAGAACATCAAATTAATGATAATAATTTCCTCCTAATACCAATCAATGAACACTAAGAGTCATTTTAGGTCAGGTATACTGCACATTGTGGCCTGGCATTACTTTATAATCTTTGCTGATAATGATGAAATACTGCTTTCGTTTGTGCAACAAATTATTTTTAAGTAGAGGATATTTTGTTAAAAGTTGGAGATAAAGACCTAAAGCATCTACTCGTGCATTCTATATGCTTTCTTAGCTGCATGTGAACCTTCTACACTTTACAGGGTAAGGAAAATTTTACTTGTACTACTTATAATTTAAAAGGATTTATGGGTTTCCCCCTGTCTGATGCAGGAACTGGTTTGCATTGGCACGTATTTTAAATATAGAAAGGATGGCATCAGTACTAGTGGACAGGTTTTGATGAAAGCTTGGTATAGATACAGAAGACTTATGAGACATCAGCAAGTCAGGATTGTCTCTGAAAATGGCGTCATATCTACCTAGCCACTAAATGGCTTATATACTGGATAACAATTTGTTGTGTCTTACTTCACGTCTGTGAGGCGTACCTACTGAACATAGAAGATATCAGGAAATTAAAGGTTTTCGTTCATAGGTGATTTTGTTAAACTGCTTATGACAGAAGAAGCAGTAGTAGAACAACGAAGCTGGGAAACTTCATTTTAAGCGGTGGCTAAGCTACACATTGTGTATGCTGAACCATTGCATTCCTTCCCTAAGGGACCATGTTAGCTCAATTAGGACTGTGTTTATTTGAGATTATGAACGCTGAGACTGAAAAATATATCAAATGACTACTTTTATCGGTGACTTATCTTGTTTGGCCATGGAGTCCTCAGGATGAGAACAATCAGGAGTAAGATACACTTGAGAATATGACTTGCGAACACTCAAAATTACTTAGATTTATTCATCCTATATGATAGCAGTTTTGACCATCTCCAATACTTTTCGTTCAGTTATTTTCTCACAAAGTTTCGTTGTTCCCCTTTATGTTTGCTCTCATTTCGCGAAACTTAATATCACTTACCACCTAACACACTGTTTATTATAACTCTCTAATATATTTTCATCACTCAGAAGTGTTATCCAACGTCCTAATTTGTGTAAGTAATAGTAGTTCTCTTTAAACGACCTTGAACCTTGCCTTTCCCAATACACTATGCTCCACTACTCTAAAGACCAAACTAATAAACTGGAGAAAAAAGTCTGAACACTCCTTAGGGTCACTTTCATGTTATGGCTTTAACAGGACAATCAGTATGTCTGTCGTTGAATTTAGAAACAAGGGGTCTTAGCCTGTTAAAATACATGAGTTAGTAAGTGTTAAATTGAGAAATCAGCTTATTGAATTACTTTTCCTTTGCTTCCGATAGTGCTAAAACTCTACTTACGCTGTGGCTGCTCAGCTTTGACTAATTGACCTTGCTGAATCTGAGCCTGAATGCTTAAAGGAACTGTGAAAAATAAATAAAGTAAAAGAAAGATAATAAACATAGTGCATCAATATTATTAAAGCTGAAGACTTACATCTTCGTAATTCAACTGAATTCTGTAACAAATTCACTTCAATATTTCTAACTTCCTATGCTTAGAAAAGTAACATTAACGGTCAGACACCATAATGGCCTATTTTTAACTCTATTTTGGTATTTCTTGGTACAGAAAACGCCACTTAGCAGTACTAGGCTGATTCTACACTTGAGTGCTTGAAATTATTTATGAATATTTAGAAAGAAATATATGGCCATTAATTATCTTGGTTTATCACATCCATTACCCAACCAATAAAAGCACACTTCATTTAATTCATTAACGGAACAAAAAGGATTGCAGAAGCTGAAATTTATAATCATCGGGTGTGAGAAACACAGTCTGAAATAGTCACCATTACATCAAAAGATATGGAAGTTAAAAAAAATCCCACAAAATCAGGTAAAATGACGGTTAAGACAAAGAATGCATCAAATAGATTTGCAAAGTTAAAGCAGCTGTAATCATAAAAAGGTATACATTTTTCCACCAAGATATACACAGTATGGTTTAAATTTAATTCCGTAAATATGAGTGAGATATCCGGGAATTTCATGTTGAAGTCCAATAAGAAACAACTTCATATGAAGACTGTTTAACGATGCCTAAGATTTTACTATTAATGTCATGTAAAAACTAACTGATTCTAAAATTTTAACAGAAATTACACGTGGACAAAGTTTAGATGCTACTAGACGCCTTGGAGCTATTACACTGTTGTAGAGCTTCTAGATATTAGCGTTTGTCGAAACAGCTTTATTACATCATTCACGTGGATGCATGGATAATAATAAATAATAAGTGTAGTAATTTGTGCTTATTTTCTGTTTTTGTCTGATTAACTTTAGATAGCCAAATAACTGACCCAGTGGTGTAGTTTGTTTGTCAGATATGTTTCACAGGGAATATTATTTATATCAGGATACCTTAGACACAATATTTTTTTACTCCACAATTTTGAAACTTGGTTTTTAATTAAGTGAAATAACTATTTACAGCTTAGCACTCTGAACTTCTTATTTAACTTTAAATACATTAGGTGACTTTAGATAAACTAAATCATCTTGTTTTATATAATAAGTAGGATCATTTTCTAGATAAATTTTATTTTTGATTTAGTTTGTAGGTCTAAACATAACTTTGTTCCCAGAATAGCTGTAAAACCGGCATAAAGTTTCTGAAGTATGTACCCTGTGATACCAAATATATAGGTCAAAGTTGTGGTCCATGGTCAGTAAAATTAAGGCAGTACCATAAATGAGGAAAATGCAGAGGATTTAACTTCACCATGATGAGAGATCACCTACAGCTTTGTTTGTAGTAACACAGATATACACTAGAATAGAATGCAGTAACAGTTCTGACAACTAACACTGCAGGATTGAAGAAGAGACCAACAACTAAGACAGTATTTATCCAGTAAACATGAAGTGCGTGAGTTAGAAATCACTTAACATCTGACTCAGATATCTTCAGAACTCAACAGTCTTTTAGAAAACAAAAGAAAAAAATGAAACCCCAGAAACTAAGTTTCAAAATTGTGCAGTTGAATTTGCTATCACTTTGGCAATAGACTATGTAAAACATTATATCATAATTCTTTTTCACAGTGTGATTTATCAAATAATCCAGATAATATGAAACTGTTTGCTACAACATATTCCATGTCCTAAGTTTATAATAAACATTGTTTTTGGATTTATGAGTTTGTTAGTTGAAGAACTTAATACTGAAAATGAGTGAATTTACGTTGATTGTTAGAGACACGGTTTATGCATAAGATCCATTCACCGATAGAATTAAATACACTATCAAAAGAACGCCAAAAATAAACAGTTAAAACAGTATGGATTATGGTCGTTTGTAAACACATAAAACTGAAGACCAGACATAACTAAAATTAAATAAACAGACTATGGTAAGATGAAAAATGATAGAAGTGCACGTTTCTACTTAATATGACATTTGAAACAAAATGATATGTATACACATGTTGGCTAAATGCCAATATTCTTTTGAAATGATGATATCTTTTTACACCACAAGAGAGTGAGTAAAGATGATTTGTTATGAAATTAACTTTTCACCATAAATACAAGCAAGGAGATAGTTAAGTTTAGTGAACATGAATTTACATGTCCATGGGATTTACTTTTTTTCTTACAAAAAATGTTATTATTTTGTTCAGCAGTTACAAAGTGAAGTTGTGCACCAAAATTGCTAGAAACCTTTATCTGTTCATTTGTACTGTTTAATAAACTTCTTTGTATGCAGTAGAAGCTGTACTATTCTGTTCGTCAATTAACTAGATCAAGACAATTGAGTTCGAACTGTAAACACGTTTTACATGTCTTTAGATCATCGACATTTACGGTGGTATATTCATTTCATATTAGCCTGTGTAAATTCTTATGTAATTACAAAATTTGATCAGATCAAAGTAGCTGGATAGAGGTGGATGGTCATAAAGTGTCTTTACAAACTAATCACACCTGAATATCAGAGCGTCTAAACGTATACTGAGTAAATCTTTGAATAAATTTATACATTATCATATTAAGCTAACGCATTTTAATATTTGCCTTGTTTTTTATATTATACGTTTACCTGTCGTAGAATTCCTTAACATGCTTCGGTCATTGTTTGTCCTCCAAACGCTGGCATAGTCTACAAGTCAAACACTTTCGAAGGGGTTTTAGTGTTTCAATTACATTTTCAAAATAGAGAAATGAAGAAAGAAAAGACTGTGGAAGAGTAGTGGCATGAAACCAAGTTGAAACTATTAACCGTATCTCTTAACTTTTTTATCACGTTGTTAACAAACAATTTCGGCTAATATTTAGGAGAAGACATAACACTAATTGCTATCCCACAATCAAATAATGAACATAATCCTTGGATTATTTGTAACTCAAACGCCTATCAGTAAAGGTTCTGATCTCGGAATGGAGTAGTGCAGATCTCAGAGAGCACATAAATGTTCTAATGGCTACGAAAATGCCCTAAGGATGAGAATCAAGCATGACATTCTGTTGAACGACTTCTAATACTTGGGATAAAAGTGTATACTTTAATTGAAAAGCTATATCTTAAAAAACGTAGATTTGCGTTAATCAAAAATAGAAATGTTGACTCTTTGTTCCCTTGTTATATGTTTTTACTACTGACGAAAAATGTTGTTTAGACGAACTAGATAGTGGATAAAAACTATGAAGCTAATAACAGTGACTGTATATGGTCAAGAGAAATAATATTTTTTGATATTTAGAAGAGAAAAATAACCATAGGACACAATTTTTATAAAGCATTTGTTTGCCTGATCACCAACTTAATGTTGCAAAAAAGTTATGGCAGTTAATATACAAGTAAATAGGTCCGTATTGTGATTAGCAAGAGCATGTTTATGGAATAGATAGTTAGGTGAAAGTGATTTAAATTAGGTTTAGTACAGCTTTGGTTGAGTACTGAGATACGTTTATCTAAGCACAACTGAATGAGTTAATTTCCTTCGTGTTTAACCTTTGATATTTTAAACATATAGAATAAAATTGACCAGCATATAAACAGACATAGACTAAACAGAAATTTACTTTTTAGCTGCTCATTACTGAATAAGTGCTTTGTAAGGCGAGACAATGCATACGATGGGATATTTACGTTTGTTCAATGGATTACCAGTGTGTTTGGTTGACTTAAGTAAGAAAACGTTTGTCAAAAAAATCAGTGGAACGAAAACCTTCTGTAAATGTTACAGTATTCAGGAGAGTAAGAGAAGAATTTATTCAAAAAGATTCTGTGTACATACTTTAGAATTTAGTAAAAGTAGTCGATTGGTACGTTTATAATGTCTTAAATTTATGATTATCACTACTTTTCCGTTAAGTTATACAAGTCTCTAGGATATTACAACGGTTAACTAATTAAATATCACATTATATATATATATATATTGTAAATGGACTTTAGAAGCCTGTGCAGGGTGAAAAAGTGACTTCTAGCTATAGGAAATAGCTTCGAAACAAAGACAATCGTAAGACGCTACCATAAATATGTCTCTTATTTGATTCCCTTTTGCCATTTAATAGTATGGTAGTATGAAACTCCTAATTAGTTTAGTTTCCTTCGCATTGGTGTAATAATGAACCAACTGTTTAAAATATTTAGTGAGTAGATTCGTCCCATCCTTAGTTCATACAATTTCTGCTTATGACAAATTGGCTTTTTGTGATTTTAATATGGGAAAAATGACCAGTAGGTAAATGTGTAAACTTACTGCATGCGATAGACGCTCTCGGAAGATGGTTACCTGGAGGCGTTACTAAGATGTATAAAAATTAATAAATATTTTAAACCATTTGCAAATATTTAAAGGCGATTATTACAAACTGACTGCTTTGCTTATTCAAAATATCTGAATAATTATTGAATATTGAAGAAATTTAATTTTCTTCTATAAGCGCCTATAATTACGTTTCAGTGACATCTGTTGCTAATAATTTGCGGTTTGTCTTCCTCGACAATAATTGCCCTGATGTTTTTACAATACAGTGCAAAAGTTACACTTCCATAGTTTCAGCTAACACAATATTGTATAACCTTAATATACATGTGTTTTTAGTTTTGTCATCAAAACTTATGGTGATTTGTTTCATTCCAAGCTGGTGAGGACCTGTAAAGTACATAGAGCTGGATGAAATAACCTTAAGCAATTAACAGAGGTCTGAATATAGTCGATTGTGTAACATAATACAAAGTTTTACTGAATCATGTAGCCCAATATTTCACTATTCTACTTTGTTAGTAGACTCTGTTTGTCATATAATCCACTAATACGATATACACTGAAATGACGCTTTTTCACAGATGTTAACGTAAAGTGAGTTAAGATATGTCGTTGAATTTGTAGTTAAAAGCCACATACTTAATATCTGTGTAAAACTTAGGCATTATAGTAGTTAGTAATTCCATATCAGTTGGTTAATTAGATAGCACTACATACAATTACACACAGCCAAATAACAGGATGGCATAAGATGACATTTTTAAAATCTAATACAACAAGGTGGAGAGAGAGATGGATAACAGAAGCTTTTTTATTGGATCAACTGAAAATGAATGATTCAACACCTGTCCAGCCAGAAATCTGAAAATTCTACTACCACTCCAACGAATAGAAAAGAATAAAGAAAACTATGAAACTAGGTTTCGAATTTGTGTAGTGATAATTGATATAATTATCAAATACAAGTTGCATTCGGAATTTGATCCAGTATAAAATACTCTTTCACTGTGTAATATATCTAATAAACAAATTAATATGGAATTACATGCTACTACAATGCTCAGGTCTTATGCATTTAATCACTTCAATGTTTCTGATGCATTTTGCTTCCGTTTCGACGCAATGAAAGTGCACTGATCAGTTGTTTTTTAGGCAGCAAATGTAGTTCACCTCAACTAATCTCACCATTATTGTTTTATTTAAGAATTACCTGACTAGTTGCATTTTAGTTCTTCATACTTTTCCAAACACTATTCTGATGAAGTTTCCATTATTTTATTTATTCAATTGCTGAATGAAATAGTATCTTAGAAACTGCATGCAAATGAAATGAATATATGCCATAATCACTCAACTCCTATAGATATATATATATCTGCGAAAAGCATGTACCATTTTTAGTTTATGGGAAGGTCTAATAAATGTTTCAAATTGAAATGGTAATAATGAATAGTTTTATATTAAACGAAAAACTTACTCCCAGTCGTTGCATTTGGTGCACTTAAATACGGAGTTGTACGTGGACTGACTCTTTGAGATGAACCTATTTTAAATTGTAAAAAAAGGTTTGAGAAGAGTAATTTGATACACAACTGTCGACACAACTCTTAACATTTCAGTTTCATAAATATTTATCACAATGTTTTCTGTTCAAGTTGTGTCATTCTGCGGGAGATAAAGAATCTGATAGGAGAATACGTTTGGTTATGTAAGTTTTGATAATCCATGGTTAGATGGAATATGCAGGAACTAAAAACCATTAAAGAATCATTAAAAGTGGTTAAGATTAGGCAGTTATTTCCTCCTAATGTAGAACCGTTAGTCAGTACTCAGAATCAAGTATTTTATAATGGGTATATATATATATATACATATATGATATCCTTTAGATAACAAAAAACCACAGTGCCAATGAATTTTCATCGTCGTCACATTTGAAAACAGAAGAGTATACTGACTCGTTACTGAATTTGTAGCTATAATTTAATCTGTAATAACAACTTTTAGCAATACTAGGATAAGTTGTATCAGAGGCACGTCTAGCAGTTATTCACAGAAGGCTTGATTGCACGTATTACAATGCATATTATAAGTCTTTAAATACATTCGAAACGTTATGCCTAAAATCACATTATAATCAAAACAGATATAAGTAATAAATAGACATATTTCACATTTACATTTTGGCTAAGATTACTTTCGTTTTGAATCACTGGTCACTTTAGTGTGGAAAATTTTAGAATTACTATGTGGTCGTGGGATAACTAATTTGTACACCGGAGTTCATTGGTGTATCTGCTAACCTTTCCTACGGAGATGTTTACTTTGTTTACATCGGTAATGAAAGAGCACTTACTCTTTTTCTCTGGGTGTGTCAAAATAATTCGAACAATAGGTTTTAGATTCCCCTGTTTTTCCTCGATATCCGTGGATTCGTTACAGCTCATAAGTGAAAATCCTTTCGAATGTTTTTAATTTGATCGAGCTCAGGTATTCACTAAATAGGATAGTATTTTTTCACTCATATACACTTTATCTCGGTTAAAATATAAATAAATTACAGAGTTCATAAAATATTTATAACTGTATAACAAAAGCAATACTGACTACAAAAATACTGTACAACGAGAAACTCTGTGCAAACAAGTTTATGCAATCCAGTGTACTGAATGACCAGTCTTTATGTCCAGGGGACAAACAGGACTTTTTGACATTATTCACAGGGAAGGAAATCATTTTTACTGACCTCCAATGGGTCCTCCTGGGCCAGCAGCATTTTGCACAGAATATCTTCTCTTTTCTGAGGACAAGGCTGTAATACGGAATAAGGATTGAAAGCGGATAAGTACTTGGAATAAACAACTTTCTTTTCTTTTGGCGACATTTAAAAGGATGAATTCGTTTTCACATATGCAAACAACACTGATATTATGATTTGAGTTAAAAGGTGAACAGATTTCAATATCCTCTTGTAGTGATTGGGTTAAGAGGAAGCGTGGATACGTTTAGTCCATAAGAAGGCTTACATTTTATTTTCTTGAAAGACAGTTTCTTATTATAAAAATGTTTTTTCTCTGACTCAGACATCTAATATAAATTTACTTGGAGAAATCAGAAATAGCATACCACTATACTTATAACTGTGACAAAAAAACTATTGGTGTAAACTGTGTGCAGTAATTCGACCAATAGATTTAAATTGTTTTAGTTAGATTCAACCGTTTATATAACAAATAGTGAAATGCAACAGTGAAAAAAATTCCTAAAGAAGACATTATGTAAGAAAAAGAACAATAAGAAAGCATATCAGAATTTTAGAAATACAAATCACTCTAGAATAGACTATAGCTTTGATTCAAGTGTTTTTTAACGGAGAAAATTTTCTCAGACTCATCAAGGTACTATTGGTTATCAGAAAGATACCAGAATAAACACATGTCTATGGAAGAAATGTTGATTAGTTTAGAAGTGAATAACTCAAATAAAACAACTAAGTAAATTCGTTTCAAGAGTACGTCACCAGGTGTTGTGGCAGCAAAGTCAACGTAAAATATGCACATAAGTATGTACATGCAACAGAAAATGATTTAAACAGAGTATTATGAGGGATTTTCATTCAGAATAAACAAGAGGATTAAAGATAGAACATTCTGAATAAAATTGTGACACATTTAAGTGTGCAGTAGATTTCCATAGTGATTTCGGAGCAATCAAATATTGTTCTGTTCTCCCGATCCTGCCTTTCATATCCTTATCCGCGCCACCTGCAACTGCAACGAATCCTCCAAAATAAATGAAATAGGTGACTTCCCTTGGATTTCTTTCGCTAATACATATTGGTGCTTGCTGTAGTTAGTGATGCTCAGGTATCTTTATCACCCCTGTCATCTACCTGTCCACTTGGAGTCCTGTGTTCGCTTCCCCATCTACCAGTTTGTTTATTTGCGCTCACAGATCTTCAAGTATGTGTTACATGGGAAATAAATAGTCCGTGAAGTGCATACCTTCTTTTTGTTGGTCCACAATATGCTCTTCTTCTCGTGTGATCCACATTCAGGAGTATCATAGGTGATAGTGTGCTGCCTTATCTTACTTCTGTGTTCATTTCAAAGACTTCGCTAGGATTCCCTTTATGAATCACTTGACATGTCACATCGTCATATAGCTGTTGAATAAGGTTTATAATGGTTTGTGGCACTCCTCAGTGTTGAAGAAGTTTTGAAGTTACTTAGTGGTTGACACTATCGAAGGTAAAGATTCTCATTTAGGTATTTAGAATACAAAAGAAGGTCTGACCAAAAAATATTCCTTCCGATAGCTTCCTCGTCTGGCCCTTCCAAAATTAATGAAGTTCAGGAAAAGAGTTGACAGTAATCTTATACTCCGTTTAATAATGATGCTTAGTTTCGCAGTGCAGTATGTACACGATTTGCTTTTCTTGAATCCAGCTTGTTATGAGTGAAGTTTCGCATCTTTTAGTCTCCCCAGTATGATACGGCTTGATCTTTTCCTTGGAGTGGACAGGAGCATGATTCTGCCCCGATTCTTGCAGAGGTTTTATTCTTCATTGTTTGGTAGTTCAACAAGGCGCTCATTTTCATTCCTTCTAAACCTCCTGGATTAAGTGTCTGTTGGGGTCTCTGGATCTGTTTTCGGTGCTTCCTGAGGAATTCCGTCCCGCCCAGCCGAACTCTAGGCTTTTAGTAACTTTTTGGCATTCAGGACTTCTGTTTTTGTCGGAAACTCAGTGTCCACTGGCAGTTTTATCTCCTGGTGATACTTCTGTAAGAGCTGCAGGTTGTGACCGGTTCAGAAGTCTCCAGCCGGGCGTTTAGCCTGTTTCTATTCTTTGATAATTAGGTTTGCTTCACTATATTTCATGGATTTAACTTCGATTAACGACCTGGTTATCTGATATAGCATTTTGAGGCCCCTCTTACTGGCAACCTGTTCTACTTCAGCTGCTAGTGTGTTGTATAGTTGTATTTTGCTTTTCATCTCAGTATTCTCCACTTGTTTGTTTAGTGTTCTGTAGGTTATGCTCAGCTTCTCTTTTATTTGCTCATCTCTGCACTAATTCATCTTCTGCCTCACTATCCTATTTCCTTCCATCAACTTCCACATGTCAATAGGAAGTCATTCCGCGTCTTGCCTCTTCTTCCTTCCTGATAGGGCTACAAAGCTTTATTTCTACACATATTTACTTGGTAGTGTTGTTTAATGTCTCTGAAATTTCTCGAATGAATACATTGAGGATATTCTTTGCAGTTTCGTCCATTAGCTTTCACCATACATTGGTCTTAAAACAAATATTTTATTATTATCATCCCCTTGGATTCCGAGTGGAACATAGGACTTCAGGAGCACATCTCCACTTGTCCTTCTCTTTGAAGTCCTCTTTAGATGGCTTCATGACTGCTCATAGGCTTTCACCTCCTCCTCACATGATCGTCTCTGTGTCACCCTTGGACTACCCACTCGTTGTTACCCATTCATATTCCACTCCAGGGCCTGTCAAGCGCGTGATATCACCTCAGGGTCTCCTCAGAGGGTATCTAATCCACCTCCACTTTCTTCACCTTATTTCTTGAGTGATAAGTTCTTGACTAGCTTGTTCCCAGAGTGTTTTGTGGCGTATTCTTTCTGGTCATTCGATACTCAATGTGTAGCAAAGACAGTTGTTTATAAAAGTTTGCAGCCTGTTGGAAATGCTTTGCGAGACTCGCACCAAGTTTCTGACCCATATCGAAGAATGACCTGAATGACCTAACATTGGTGTTGCAAATCCGAATCTTGTTCTTAATGCTGTTTGAAAGCAGAAGATTTCCACACTAATCTCAGAGTGATGGAGGTTTGTCTTGTCTTTCTGATAATGTATGTCTTTTACATCGTCATCCGTAACATCTGTAGTTGAGACGATGCTGCTCATTTGAGGGAAAGGAGTGACTTTCTTCAAATTTCTTCCGTTGATAGCGATTGGTGCTTGTTGTGGTTGGTTGATTGGTTGACTTTATCACTTTCGTCTTCTGCATGTTCACTTGAAGTCCTCTTTTTGCTTCTTCTTCTGCCGACTTGTCCGTTTTCGCCTATAAGTCCTTGAATTTTTGTGACATTTGGCATGAATCATGTGCGAAGTCTAGATCTCCTAGGGTTATTTTTTCGGTCCAACGTGTTCCCGTCTTGTCGCTGTTCACAGTCTACCACATGGTCCAGTCGACCTTAATCAGGAAGATGAACGGTGATTTTGGGCAGCCTCGTCTCACTTTTGTCTTTGCACCAAAGGCTTCGTGGAGTTTTCTGTTGTGAATCACTTGAAAAGTGCCAATTTCATAAAGCTGTTGAATGAGGTTGATAAAGATTTGGGGCACGCCATAGTGTTGAGGTAGTTTCCAAATTACTTCACGGTCAACACTGTCACTCTGTGTTCTGTTTGATGATGCGTGTATTTGCAGTTTTATCCGCTTATGACTTACTTTTCCTGAATCCAGGCTGTTCCGATCGCAGTTCTGCATCTTTTATCCTCTCCAGGATGGCGCGACTTATTAGTTTGCCTGGCATGAACGGAAGCGTGATACCTTGCCAGTTCTTGGAGAGGCTTAGGCTGACTATTTTCGGTAGTTAGACAAGGTATCCTTCTTCCTATCACTGGCGTTAGAATATCTTCTCTTGTCTTTGTGTTCATTTTTAGTGCCCTCGGAGAAATTCTGTCAGGTTGTGCAGCTTTCCCAAACTTCTGTAGTTTGTTTGCATTCAAGACTTCTGCTTTTGTTGAAGGACTGGTGTTCACTGGCAGTTTTATGTCTGGTGGTTGAACAATGGGAAACCCTGATACATACATATTTGTTTCTAACACAGCCTGCATTTCAACAGTCTTCTCAGATTGAAACAAATAATTTTGGGATATACTGACGCATGATGAATTTTCTATGACCTGTAATTAGTGGCTAAATAAAATGTTGTGGATGGGTGCTAGTCTCATATTTAATTGGTGAGAGATGTAGAGGAAGTTTTGGAGGATATTTTTAAGCTACATTACAAAATGACATTATATAAATTGTCATTAGAATACGAAGTACATAAAATCCTCTCCGGTTCACATTTAGAAACCTTCTTCACATTCATCGAAGTAATAAACCGTCAATAACTGAAAGAACTCATTATACGCCCCAAAATTAATTCCAGCAACCAATTTTCTTTTCAAAGTTCGGTTATTTATATTAGAGTGCAGAAGTTATTTAATTTCATCATCGAGCAACATCACATACTCACTAAGGCCATGATTCATTCGCAATCATCGTGAGGAACTTAGTTCGAAAGATATCTGAACTTGAATGAAAAAGAACTTAGACATTGTCATATTTTAATTATTTGCTGATTGTTAACATCTCGTGACGGCGATAATCAGTTTTACGTGAACAGCTGTTTTTAAAGGTGTTTTGTTTAATCGCTGAAAATGACTATTTTACAGCAAATAAATGCATCATAAAATAATATTAATGAAAACAAAAGCTAACAAACCTGTGTCTTTCAGTACAGCTGTGTAATTGAACATAAATGGAAATGTGGATCGGTAAACGAAAAGAAAACAAACAACTTGATTAGTTTTCTATCCAACGAAAAATGACTTAGTTAGCTTCAGTCAACATCAAATATGACGAAAAATGACATTGTTTAAGAGTGGTTCAAGGGAGAAGGAGACAAAATGAAATTCAACTCATGTTCACAAGTTAGTTAAGAATTGTAAGTAGGAGTGTATGACAGAATTATGATGGTTAGTTAAAATATTAGTGATATATAGATGAAGATCAATTTTAATTTTTAGTGTTCAGATTAACACGTTTTATACACCAAAAAAAATTCACTCAACAGGTAAGCTCTGAGAAAACGGGAAAATTTATTTGCTTTATATTGCGTACTTGGTGAAAGTTGGTGGATAAAGTTAAACAATGTGAAAAAAAGGTTTCGAATTGACTTTACCGTTTTTGAGAGTAGAAAAAATTGCAAACAAGTATTAAAAATTACAGTTTTTCTCTCCTCGCAGTGTAAAGAAGAGTGAAGCTTCAGTGTGTGTCAAAGGAAATCACACTTATTTCAAAAATAAAAATCATAACTGTTAACTGAATCTTAGAAGATAAAACCACTTTTAGAAATGCTGTTGTTGTTATATAACAATTTACAGTTAAATACATCAAATGCTTATATTGTGTTAATTTACACACACTTCCGGTGCTTTTTACACGACACTATTTCAAAGCAAATCTACTAAAATTGTGAAGTTTCAAAGTGAAAATGGACATCATGCCGAATTTGCAACAAGTAAAATATAATTTGAAAAATGAAATATCCATGATGGTGCTTCGCTAAGGTAATAGCAAACAACTGTGTTAGGCGTACTCAGAAAGGCATTTTGTGCTCTAAATTTCACCATATGCATAAGAGTGTGCTTTTGTTATAAATGTGAAGTGAGTTAAATCTCAAAATAAAGACTGATCCTCCATTCTTACATAGTCTGCTACTTTGTTTGGGAAATGTTCTTTGATTCTGAGCCAACTGTTCAACGATCGATATTTCAGGTGATTTACGTGCTGGTGGTAACTCTTAGGATTAAAAAATGCTTAGAATATAATTATTATGCATTTATGAAATCATGCATAATACATTTGAAAAACAGACATTACTTAAACAGGCCACTTTATTTACAAAGTAGCCATACACTAGAGGATACTTGGTGTTCAGCATTTGTTGGGTTATTGAATGGAATTACAGATTGTTATTAGGGAAGTAAAACCTGAGTTTAGCGTCTTAAAGCTTTAACTTATAACATTGCATCTTAGTCCTCCTTCATATTTTTAATAAATTAAGTCAAAGTGAAGGAGTGTTATTATAGTGCAGACAACCTTGTGCAGCCACCATAATATTTTCGTCTTGATACTGCTTGGTGGTGTTCAGAATACCGGACTGCTTGTGTAACTCAGTAGGTCGATTTATAAATCTTTCATATTTGAAGGCATGCAAACAATGCCAAGTTCCTTTTGTTTAAAATATTACAATAAACATTTCATGTAAAACCAGGTGATTTTTATCAAACGTAGTACGGACATTGGACTTTAATGAAAACTTTTTATACCAGTAGAGTCATTTAGTGTGGTTATTTGAGGTAGTACATGATTAGTCCTTAAAGAAGTAAATTTAAAATTTATTTCGTAAACATCAATTTCATAATTTGTGTCATCTTCATTTCAGTAACTAAACAAGGATTTTTCTCTAATAACATAATATTAAGATTCAATTAAACTGGAATATCCTTAACCCTGAAAGACAAAATCGAAATAAAATTATATTCGAAATGAAGTTTAAAATTTTTAGGTTTTCTTGCAGTAAAAAATTTATCATTTGTCACTCTACCTTATTCATCTTCACAAGGTCCATGCATTAAAAAATTTCGTCTTTAAGAAATATTTAATTTTATTCTGTACTAGATAAATATGTCATTTAGGAAGCGTAGAGCTTAAATGCCTAATATCACTTTAAGATAAATATTTTAGCCTGCTGATTTCAAAAAAATATATACATTATTCATCATGCAAAATCAGTTTGTTCAAGAGAAACTCTTGGTATAACAGGGAAATTATATCATCTTAAATGTTATAACTAAAACCTCGTTTATTTTTGCGACCATTGGTGTTATGAAAATTAGGTTTTATTATTTGCTGCTGATTCATATAACAGAGAAGGGAGTTTCACCTTCCAGATACATTTATGAACTGTTCATATCTTCAACAACTTGAACGAAGCCATGACATCAAGTACTGATAGGAGTAGGTACTAACACTAACTGGTGTTGCTTACAAGTAAGTTATAGGTTATCCTATTAATAATCATGGATCAAACCAGCGAACAAGAATTCACATATCATTACCATATTTTGCATAACCATAACTAACTCTTTTCCGTTCTAGTCCTTTTTTAGCTGATATTGATGGGCAAGAAAACACATTGTCTTGGCACACATAACATGTTTCTTAGTCGTTTTAAGTGATGTAGCTCTTCAACACAGTTGAGTGAGCTCCCCTTCATACCTAAATATATGCAACTATCCTCAATTTTGCTGAGTGTATTTCTGCGTTCAGTTAATATAACTGTACAACATTGTGTGATTTATCAAAATAAAATCTTATCCATAATGGAGTTATACTCTACCACAGTGCCCAAGTTTTATACTTATATTTCTGCGTTGTATGCAGGAACCTATGGTCAAAATTCACCAGTTTCTCTCACCTTCAAACTTTAGCATTTACGTCCTACAGCAGTAAGACAGGAAGGAGTGAACTGTTACATAATACAGACACCCTTGAAAGGTAGCCGGATATAACACTAACAGTGAGGGTTATACAAGTTCGTAATTGTTAGAGTAGCCTTTTGAGTATCCATGCTGAACAGTCGACAGAAGACAGCCCATTAGGACCCATGAATCTTCGCAAGTGAAGTGTCCAACACATGCAACAATCTCACCTTCTATCTGTAAATTTGAAGTCAGTGTAGGCCGGTTCTGCAGTATCACCTAGCTTTAAAATGTAGCAAATACACGACTCTGCACATTGTCAGTTTTTTCACTTATAAGTATTAGATCGTCTCTATATTTTAGATGAATGAGACTTCATTTTGTTGACGAATTACATCCCAAATCATCGAAGTCTGCCTAGCTCACATCCATTAGAACATGACGCTCATTATCCCAGGTGTATACGTTTCAGCCGACAAAATGAAATGCCAACTTCAAGTTAAGAAGCCAAGAAGTAAGTCTCTGTCACAGAGTGAGTTTATGACGAATCCACTCTTATTCGTCAATCACTCACTCATGGGTGGCAGCCCGGTTATAGGGTAAACTAGGATGTGTTACTTTCTGGACGGTTTGCTACCTAACCGAGAGAATAATCTAGCTGCTGCTTCACTCCTCAACGGACAGAAGTACTACCTATCTCTGTAAGCAAGCAAACCACCCTTTCTGGCATGGTAGAACGATTGGCGAAATTCCTCCCAGTTAGTACAGCCTTCTGGGTTGTTGTGAAATGCAGGCACAATTACCACGTGAATTTGTTGGCATGTAAGCTTACTCACATTAATAAATACACAAACATCAACTAGTATTAGGGAAACCCATCAACTGGCTGAACTAATTACACAAGAAACACTAGGAAAATACTGATCTGAAAACTATCTTACTGATTGCATTTCATACACTTATTCCTTCGTATAAATCTCAATAAAGCAAGAACAGCGGTTTGTGAAGAATGAGATCGTACCATCTTTTATTTCGCCTGAATCTCAGCAGTTGCATACAAGCAACAGAAATTAACTGAATCTATGAACGGAACAATTTTAATATACTTGCAAATGTTGTGTAGTGTCAGTTGAATCCGAATTCAATAAACAGTGATTAGAAATCACACCTATACAACATATACATAGAAGGTTCAAGTTTAAACCAAAAAGTAAATGCCTGGATACACTGGTAAAGGAGTTGCGTAATAAAAACAAGAGGAAGATAAGATGATCAGTAGCTAATAAGTTACAATGTGGTAAGTTCAATAAAAAGCACAGAAAAAAGAAACAAGCAAAATTACACCATAGCAAAGAGGAAAAGATAAAAGCCAAAGGCAACACAACCAAATGAAAGACAGAGTGAAATATCCAGCTGAAAGGGCAGGGAAAGACTGATAACTACTTCTCTCTGGAAATATAAATTAGGTTTTAGGTGTTTGATAGCAATAGCTTCGCCAAACTTGAGGCGATAATTTCAAAGGATTTTGAGATGTCCATCGCATGACCCACTTCGATGAGATGTCTGCCAGTGGCACTGTAGTGAGCGTTTTTCCTCTTGAGACGTTTGTTTTTTTAGTATATGTTGAGAAAATCGAAGGTGTGCCTCTATTGTTATTCTCCCAACGTGACTGCTACATGCAATTCATGTAAATTTATATATACAGTTAAATTTAACACGAGAAGGGTATCAGTCAATCTTTGACTGCACCAAAGAACATGTTTTTCGAGAAACAGGAATCAACTTAGCTGCACTATAGGTTTTGGCTAGTGAGGTATTCAATCTTTTGTTCACTATTCCTGCACCTTTAAAATTTAGTTGAATGAAGATAGGCTTCTTATCCATTGTGATTTCTTTGGCACTTAAATCTTCACATTTTCCGTTCTAGTTAATAAATTTTTGGGGGTAAACGTTGGTTTCCCTCTTAATTCTCAGTAGAGGAGGTTCTCCAGGCTCTATGAAACAGAGTTCTGACAAATGCATAAGCTATATAAATGTAATTCCCGAGTAGTGTTTATTAAGTTCGGATTCAACTGACACTACACAACATTTGCAAGTATATTAAAATTGTTCCGTTCATAGATTCAGTTAATTTCTGTTGCTTGTATGCAACTGCTGAGATTCAGGCAAAATAAATTGTCGTTCTTACTTTAATACAATTATTGGTGACAAAAATTTCATCTCTAAATATTTAACTTTGTCAGAGTTAAATAAATGCTTCATAATTTCTGAAGTATGCTAGTTGAAGCTAAGTTATTCTGTTCGCGTAAACAAATTTGAAAAATTAATTCTATTTGCTTTATTGAATAAATATCATGGGATTATAAATAAAACATGCATACTTTCTCCCAAGTTTGCTTACTTTAGCCATATTATTCCGTTTAAATTAATGAACCGTTAACCTTGCAAAAATTATATCATTTATTTATTCATTTTTTTAGTAACTTTATTGTTTCTCATATTGGTCAGTGACTGTAATATAATCACATTCATATATTGCAAATTTAAAACATTCAACAACTTTACAAAAAAGCAGTATTTAATGAACTCATAAATTTCGATAGGACTTGTCAGTTGGAAACACTACACTGTTATTTATGCATTTTTTTTAAAAAGGTCAAATATATACAAATACACGAACATTGTGACAACAAATAAGCATCTCAGATCCAACAAATATACGATCGATGAGTGGGGAGTAATAATCTAGGAATTTATGAATTCCTTAAATAGAGCTTTTTCACAGTTGTTTTTTGATTTAAATTTTATTTGGGAAAGAAATGTTTCCAGCATATCAAAAATGACACGAGACAAAAGGTTCGTTTTTTTTTCATAAAATGTTGCTAAACTTATTCGGCTTATAATAGACTGTGAAGAAAGTAGGGCACACTGAATGAGCACTTCAATGTTCCCAAATATAAAAAAGACTGATTGGTGAGCAAAATTTTATGTAAAATGAGTATATGAGAAAACGCACTCATTTTGCACACACTTAACATTCATTGGGTTAACTTTGTGAAACACTGGAAAGAAGTTTAGACGGTATTATCTGTTAAACTTTTGATATTAAGAACATCTACATTCACAGTGGAAATATCTGTCATTTCAGGAACATTTTGGTTTAGTTTAATGCATGAAGTTACTTTGGCTCTTTTAGTGAGATTAGTTCACTTCAATATAATCTTACATGTGTTTTCGGCAGTGCTGGAAAGACCAGGAGCTGATGTCCTGTGCTGAAGACCTTAAAAAGTTTTGTATTCATTTAATTGTTAGAGT